TACCCGTTCTTCTTAAAATCATTTCACCTTTTAAGGACTCCTTAGGTTTATTTAAAAAAGTAAATTGCAGATTTCATGTTTGATCATGAACTGACTTTATCTGGAGAAAGCATTTAAAATCAGAGAGTACTGGACAGCTGTTTTGTCTCTTTCAGATTACACGCCATCGACTCGACCAGGGTTGAAACCCACGACCTACAAATTACAGGGCCAGCGCATTGAACATTTAGCCTCTGGGAAGAGGTCCAATGATCCATAATTGTTAACTTCTGCTAATCTGTGACACACCATGTGGATGTCTTGGTGGACTGCTTGTTTCAGCACTCGACTTTATGGACCCCACTGGTCACAGTAGCTCTAGGTAACTTCATCGTAATATAAAGATATATATATATGTCGCGAATGGGAAAAACTTAGAATTCACGAGGCGTTTAATTCAATCTCGTTGGTTTAATGGACAGAGAGCTTGCCTCAACTTGAATCTGATCCTTGAAGGTGGGGTAGTGCCTGTGTACCAATGAAAATTCGCAAACAAGTTGAGAAACAACTGTTCAATACTCTGTGCAAACCAATACTTGAAAATTGAATATTGATTAAAATAATCGCTTCTTTGAGAGCTTTCATGTGTCAGATTGGTTTGAAAAGAGAATATTCTCGATATCTTTTACATGAAATTCTACAGTTATGTACCTATATATATATGTAAATGTATATAGCGAGAGAGATTATCGTGCAAAAGATGTTTGCACATTGCCATTGCGTAATATGTATAAATATAACATAAAGTTGAACATCAGACTTCATTAAGAAATGATTATAAATAATAGTGGCTGTAGTAGCGGTGAATACCGGTGCTTTATATACTAAGTAATTTAAATCTAGGTATTGTTGCTATCTTGGCCTTCTGTGGAATCGGTAAATTCATGAATGCTTTATTACTTTTATGTATGAACTTCCGTCCTCCATGAATGAATTCACTCCATCCCTTTTATGTGATTATTGCAGTTGTGCGAATAAATGGTTTTACTCTTTTCATAATGTTTATGGAGCTATCAGGTCAAATCTTGATCAGAGTTGGTATAAAACCATGTATTTTCTTAATTTACTCTTGGTTATGCTCAACAAATATGTAGAAGATAATGGAGATGGATGCGACATTCGCTGAGGAGACCGACAAACGACATTGAGAACAAGGCCATAACTTGAGTGAAACCCGAATGGGAAACGACAAGTTCGACGTTGGTCCGAAGGGGACGTGTAGGAGATCAAGAGAGGAGGAAGAGATGAGAGACTGTGGGGAAACGTGGGGCTAGCTCTAGAGGACTTCAGAAAACAGGACGAGTCGGGGATGTTCTGCTGAAGCCCTATGTTCCATTCGGAACCCATGGGAACAACAATATAAAGAAGAATATTTGCCATTACACAGTGACTTAGTATCGGTGGCACAGCTGTAGAATTCTCGCCAACCACGCATGTTGTCCACGGTTTAGTCCTCGGTTCGCGCACTCCTTTACTTCGCTAAGCCAGTAATAAGAATGGTAAAGAGAGAAGGCTGGGCATGGGGATAGCAACTCCATCCCTTGAAAATAAACACCACTGCTACGAAAACTTCAAGCCTCTAGCTTGATAGACTACCGAGTTTGACCACCTCAATGTGTATATATAAATTTTAACCATTCTTTTGGAGACATTTACATAGATAGAACGACTCAGAAAGCTCATTGTAGCTGTCTTGAACATTGTCCAACGTGGTTAGGTAAAGAAATTGTACAGTCGATCACACCTTGTAGATACGGATCACTAGACTGACAAACATTCAACCTTTTCAATTCTTTATACAAGATGCAGCCACCTCAATTCCTTAAGGTTTTCCTCTTTCTATTGCTAATCATAGCTGAGACAGTCGCTATAAAAATGTTTCATTCGAATCTTTTTGTTCAGAAAAAGTGTATTCAATCCCCACTCTCCCACTCATGGCTTTCAACCCTGACCTAGAATATTTATCTCTCCCGATGACACGGGATAACTAAAAATATTATTTTTATTCGCACTGCCAACTTTATTATCAATATCATACTGTGCACTATAGTGGCGCATTTTAATCGTCTTCTAAAATCTGGATTCATGGGCCACTGGATTCTGTCCCAGTGGCTTCAATGGTCAACGAGCTCACCTTGTAACCTGAAGGTCCTGGATTCGATGCTTGGCGGTGTGGTGATGGGTGGGTGAGTAGTCATGAAGAGTCCCAAACTAGGAGGAAATTGCTGTCCATATACACATGCTTTTAAGTGTAACCTATCAATAATATATATTTACATCTTTCTCCCGGTATGTCGATGTTAATGGTATGATGTTACTGTAAATATCATCATTAACAAATTATTCCTAAACTATTGTGGATCTACAACTGTCGAATCTGAAGAGGAAGAATTTATCGAAAAGTCAAGTATAAAATACCTTCTGGACTTTCTTGGTCACCCTATTTCTTGTCGATTTCTAGAAAGAAAGTTCCGTTTAACCTACTACATTATGAAGTTAAGGCAATCAGGTAAGTATCACTCAGCCTTCACTAATGAAGGTTGTCAGCAGAGTAAGTGGTGTGCCACTACTAAGTCAGCTCGTTACTACTGTACTATGGTCAACAGGCACCTAAACTTATGTGAGAAATGGTCTAAATCCATATTGTTTGACTTTCAACACCCTCTCTATTTATAACTCTGCATATCATCATATAGTGTAAGGAAGGAAAGACTGATGAGGCCCGAAGGCTTTATTTAGACATCATTTGCAAATTGGTCGAATATCACCACATTCGATAGCTTGTCGAATTCTGCACAGTGTTTTTCTAACGTTCTTCTCACAGTTCTGTTCTTTGATTGCTTTTTCCAGTGTCGGAAACATATATTGTTGCTTTTCTACTACTACTACTACTACTTATATCAGATTATAAGTAGCACTCACCACAGTAGGACTAGAAGTCATTATGAAAAGATTGTATGCTCTCTGGCACAACGAAGTATAAAAAACTCAATGATACTATATTTGGCCGGCGTTCTATGTAACAGAGATAGTATTAAGCGTGGAAACTATAACTATATTGTTAGCAAAATAAGGGGCTCATTTATTCTCTTCTATGTGTAATTTATAGTGACTCTATTTCAATTAATTTATAATTTTAGCTATTAACATTATCAGCATTATTTTACGCATTTTGTACATTTTCGACTGCTGATACGAAAAACAGCTGGTGATACCAATTTACGTTACCTACATCCTGCGTCGGTGGCACAGTGGTTAGGACTCTCGCCTACCATGCACATGGTCTGGGATTCGATCTCCTGCCGACGCACACCTGATATCTATGGTTGACCTGTAAAATTTGGGCTACCGATATCACATGCTGAAAATTCCATACTTGTACCAAAAATACTGTGTGATTTCAAGCTATAATCAAAAATAAAATAAAATTAATATCAATTTTTTTTTTGTGCTTTTGTTCTTGTGGGGTAAATTAGATACAATATTTTAGGAAATGTTGGGGATTCCACTCTGTAACACAAGTATATTGTCTTGGAGTAAAGCAAATTACGAATATTATTATTATTATTCGTTGTGTAATAATTATGTCTTTAGGAATTTAATTGAATAATATTCCTTATGATGTAATCGTAAGCTGTGCATCGGTGGCACAGTGGTTAGGACTCTGGTCGACCATGTACATGGTCCGGGGTTCGATCCCCTGCCGACGCACACCTGATATCTATGGTCGGCCTGCAAAATTTGGGCTACCGATATCACATGCTGAAAATTCCATACCTGTACCAAAAAATATGGTGTGGAATCAAGCTGTAATCAAAAATAAAAATAATGCATGTAGTCAGAAATATTTCAGTAGTTGTTATCGACCGCCTCAGATCTTCCTCTCTTGACATCACTGTCGTGTTCATCTGAACTCATCAGTAACTCTGAGCAGCTCATTCAGGTACCAGGTTGTATCAATCACAGACGTATCATTGTCTAGGCTGAAGTTTGTGAAACAGGATTCCAACTAGCGGCCGACTGATTTAGAGGTGAGTGTTTAGGCAAATGATCCACAATATTATGTAATCAGATGTTGATTGAAGTTGATACGGCAGCAAACGACTGATTGAGTCCAATTTGCTGCTGACAGCCCTCGACACCTCTCATTGTGGACCTTTAGTAGAATTCTAGCCAATCATGAATGTGGCTCGAAGTTCGATTCTAGATCGACAGGCATCTGAACTCCCTTAGCCAGCAGCAATTCAGGTAAATGAGGGAGAGTTGGACGTGAAGCTAGCAACCCTTCCTTCCCCTTCCGATCCTGTTAAAAAACAAACACCAGCTGTTACTGAAACTTTAAAGCTGACAGTTTGAAGGCCCATTGTACTTCACTCGGAACACTAAAGGAATGCGAAAGTAGCCGAAATATTTCCAATCCAGTTTATTTTTCTGTGAACATAATAGAGAAGATTTGTAGCTCAGGTGGATGATTTTGATGTGGTTGTGTTCTCTGAGCTGGATGGTTTGGTTGCGAAGCTTTCATTGCTCTACTGAGCAACATCTTCAGCGCATACTTCGATGTGAAGTGAGCTTTTAGAATTCTCTATGAGTTTATTAGTCATCTCTTCTAGTAACCTTGAACGTGATTGGTTGTTTTCGTGTGACATTTCATCCCCTAGTTTGCTTGCCAGCACCGAGACAAGCAAACTAGGGGATGAAATGTCACACGAAAACAACCAATCACGTTCAAGGTTACTAGAAGAGATGACTAATAAACTCATAGAGAATTCTAAAAGCTCACTTCACATCGAAGTATGCGCTGAAGATGTTGCTCAGTAGAGCAATGAAAGCTTCGCAACCAAACCATCCAGCTCAGAGAACACAACCACATCAAAATCTGTGAACATATTTAAACATAAATACTTTAAAATAATAATCGTTTCTTTGTTCTTTTATCTTCTCTTCTACCTGTAATTTAGTCAATGTTTCGATCACATGGTACTCTTTCAAGATCTTTGATTACAAAACTTCGTGATAAATTCACCCAACAGTTGGAAAATGGTTTCGACGGATAATGAATGACGATGGTCGTGATGATGATTTCTCTCTCTCTCTTCTCAACCATGACAACAACCTCACGCATGCTCTTCCTCACTGTGTTTGTCAATCATGGCTGCTGAATAATATTAAATAATATTTTAAAAAATAAGCTATTTTCAACTTTTATGTTTCATTTTTTAAAATTATTTTAATTTCACCGCTTTAATTTTACTTCCTTTTATTGTTTCATTTAAACAAACTGATATCCCCCCCCTTAACTCACAAGCAAAGAACATATGTATTTTATAATCCAGTTTATATTTCTCTGCTCATCCCTACTTCCATTCATCAATTATTCATCACTCACAGTCGGCAATTAATTTGTTGAATTTTTAGCTGGAATGGGGGGAGACTTTTGACCCTCATTCGGGTATGCTGATAGTCAAGATTTCTAGTTTATATGTACAGAAAGTGTGATTACTCCAGTGACAATTGTCACGATTATTATTATTATTATCAATTTCGTAATTTCGAGTAACTGAGATCTTCAAATGTATAAAAAAGGAACTTGGAATATACACACAACAACAAAAAATGTATGTATATACAATGTTTTACTTGCTCACTTCTTCAATTTATCTAACTCTGTTGTTTAAATTGTCAAAGTGAAGTTTCCGGAGCGGTTTTCGCTGTTGGTTGCCATGGTAACAGTGGCGGATAGTTTAACTAGACGCTATATATATTTATGCATATTTTCTCTGACTGATTCATTATGTCTTTCAAAAACAATTATACAGTTACAAACAACAACTTTTGCTTTTCTTTTCCTTCTTTCGTATTTCACATAAAATGTATTTCAGCACTGAGTTGTGTTGTACTCAGATTGCTTTGTCCCTCTTTCTCACATCTCTCTTCCTCTCCATCCTTCACTTTCCCAACCCCCTTCCTGGCTTTTTTATCTTTATACCATGCATAAATATTTATTACAATTGACATCACGAACCGAATCCATCAGTTTGGTGAGGCATCGGAGACCAAGGAGTATTGGCCAGTTGCTTCGTTCAATTACGTCCAGTTGCACTCCTCGGTTTTCAGTCATTCTCCAAACTGGTATGTCAGTTCGTGATGCATTCTACAGTGAAGTACTATTTATCACGCCTTCAAAATATCCAAAATCCTGAATTATTGATTTGTTCTCTTGTGTTTCTGTTGTTGTGATTTCTTATCCCTTGATCTAATTGATCATGTGCCTTCCTCTATTACTGCTATTATTATATTATTATTATTATTACTACTGTTATTGGTATCAATAATATTGTTACTATGGTTTGTCAGATATTTTCATATAACTTAATTATCACTCAATTACTCAATAAATGCATACTAAAATAAACTCAAAAAGAAGAACTATTATACTGCCGTCAGTACTCGTGTTAATTCTGTTTATGTCTGTCAGTCTGTACGTAGGTATGTATGTGTGTGTGTGTTGGTGTATGCGTTCACGAGACCTCTCTCTCTTTGACACACACACGCACAAATGAGAATGCACCTGTATGATGTTGCCTTTGTGAAAAAATTTGGCAAAAGTATTTACTATCACAATCCAGGGAGTGTGAATGCACGAGTGACCTTCGGCTGACCAATCAGGAAATAAAGGGGCTTTCGTATAAATAATTACGCTAATTAACAACAGATTATTATTATTGTTTCCTTTAATTCCTAGAGGAACATAGGGCTTCAGCCATGCGTCTCCATTGCGTTCGGTTCTCTGCTAGAGTCTTCACCTGGTCTCACATCTGCCCACATGCTTTCATCTCCTCTTCACATGACCTCCTCCAAGTCACCCTTGGACTTCCACTTCCCTTTCGGGTTCCACTCGAGCAATGGCTTGTCTAGTGATGTCACTTGATAGTTTGGTTTCTCAGAGCATGGCCAATCCATCTCCATTTCTTCCTGCCTATTTGTTTCACAATCGGTTCCTGCTGAGTTGCTTCGCTCATTGCCAGAGATCTCTGTTGCTGATCCTTTCTGGCGATCTGATCTTGAGTATTGAGCGAAGACAACTGTTAATGAGGGTTTGTAGTTTGTTTGAGATGCTCTTTATGACGCGCAGTGCAAGTCTCTGATCCGTATAGTGAGTAGCACTGACTGACTTCACATTGGAGTTGAAAATCCGGATGTTATTTTTGATGCTGAGTGCTGTTGACCTCCACACAGACTTGAGAGTAGTGAAAGCTTGTCTTGCTTTTCCGATTCTTGCTTTGATATCCTCGTCAGTTCCGCCTGGATTTGAAACGATGCTTCCCAGGTAGGTAGGTAAAGGAGGCTGTTTCTTTCAGATTCCTCCCATTTATGCTGATCGTTGTCTGTTGTTGTTGTTCTTGTCCAGGAATCTTCATTAACTCTGTTCACCTGAAGTCCTATCTTTCATGTTTCTTCTATTAACAACAGAAATAAATTAAACAGGATGATTTTCCCTGATATGACTTAAAAATACCTCCTAATTATAATGAGGAGTATCAGATTTTAAGTTGGACCAGTTTCTGTGCAGGTATTCACTGAGGTTGTAACAGAAGAAGACAAGGGCCAGGCCGGGAAAAAGATCGTTTATTGAGAAAATCAACAGATATTTATAGATTTTTATGTACATTATTCTCAGTGGAGAAGCAACATCTTCTGATTGGTTCCTTTCTTGCTGAAGGTTATTCTGGGCTGCTTGTGATCGTTTCTTAGAAAGTTAAGCCATATATCTACGAATCGTATTTGCATACGTTAAGTCTGCTGTGAATGGTTGGTAAGTTCCTCAAGGTTTAACTTTGTTATTGTTTTTCTCTCATGATCTCGATTCGGGATATAAACATTGACGTAAATTGCTGTCTACAATTTTAGCTGGCAGACAGCTCTCATCACAAGGTGACTAAAGAATAGTTCTTATTGTGATCCATTTATCGCTGTTATCGTGATTTTCAGTCTTTCCTAAATGACTTCGATTGAATTACTATGCGTTCCATTAAGAGGATCGACAACCATGTACTAGGAAAATGCGGATAGTAAAAACAAATAATACTAACCTAAAATCTAACCGTGATTGTAACCCTTGTCCTAACCCTAATCGTGACCGTAACCCTAACGAGCTATTAACACATTGTTCAAAAAGTACTTAAACATGAAATCGGGATGAAACTTGCACCTCACTTCATGAATAGTGTTCACATAGTGCCACTATGGTAACAGTAGGTCTCCTTATCCAACGTATAGTATGCGTTCAAGGACGTTGGAGCGTTCGCACTCTTGGGCCGTTATACTTTAACTTGACCTCCATGACATTGATTGCTAGCTCTTAGGCTTGGGCGTGCAGTGTTGTATTACTTCGGCAAGATAAATGTTGGTGTTGACTTGTTTCTACTGTAATAAAAAAATTCATCGAGAAATTTTCTATCAGTGCTTAATCACAAAATCTTCACCGGATGGTGAAGGAACTCCGTTTGAATCCTAGTTTGGAAGACTCCAGCAACACGCACTCACCGGGGTTCGAAATCAGGACATTCAAGTTAAAAGGTAAGCTCGTAGACCATTCAACCATTGAGACCAGATGATCTAATGTTCCCTGATGTCCCTCTTCTGCTAATTTGCGGTATGCATAGCTCAACCTCCAGCCAATGTCACAAGTGAGTAACTGTCCTCTTGCCTAACTTACTGGATCCTGCTATTGGTCGCAACGTCTCAGTAGAACTCCAGGTGACCTCGTGTATAGGGCCAGTATCTCTAGCGAACATTGAATGTGGTCTTGTATGGATTTGATGGACCACGAGTTGTACTTCCTGGTTTCCCAGTAGTTCTCTTAATGACCTCAACTCGTGATCGATCTTGTCAAATCCATACAAATCAACACTGGGACTATACAGAATTCTGTAAGTAATTTCTTGCAAAATATTTACTCCACTGTATAGCATCTTCAGGTAAGGACCTTCATCGACAGTAATATCCCATGACATCAACGTCATTCTGTCCTAAAACATGATTCAATCTTCTACAACATTTTTCCTTCACTGTCTTCTTGAATTACTACACAAAGTGGTAGATTCAAAGTCAATTTAAAAGTATACGTGAGTTCATGTTGAAATTCAAGGACGTAATTGGAAGATTAAAACAAAAAGAAATAGTGGAAATTAGGATGTGGTTGAAGAGCGTTGTTGTTTCCTCAGTGGGGTGAAACATTCACCAACAACGCCTCAAATGGTCCGCGGTTCAACCTCTAGCCGACGCATTCCTAAACCTCGTTAAGCTGTCAGTTAGAGCAATGAAGACGGAAGGTGGAGTATGAGGCTAACGATCCCTTGCACGTGGAAAAAATAAACACCACTGCTACTGAAACCTAAAAGCCCAAGCTTAAAACCCTAGGTTCCACTGGGAACCCAAACGAATAAAATAAAAAAGGTGGTTTTAGCTGGCCACTAGCATATTGTTGACTCCTAACCTGTTTGGTTGTTCTTTGAATTCAATGGAGTCGAGCAGATATCAATGTTATCTCACAATAAGCGTATTTCTAGAATTATTAGAGGTCAAGTCAGGAATAACAAAAAGGCATTCAAAATGCTCTGCATCACAGGAATTCAAGTTTGATCGGGGATTGATAAAAGTTAGAGAAGCACTGAAAATCAAGGAGTACTGAGTAACTGTTTCGTCCTAACCTTGGACTCTTCATCAGTGCTCACCTGTGACCCAAATGGAGGACATTGCATTAAGCAGCGAAATTACTTTCTGTTTTATGTGTAATACAGACACATCTTACTAGTGGTTCCACGTATATTGAATCTTTAGAGTAAACATTTGCATTAATATGCATCAGTTGAAGGTACCACACTTCATAGAACCACACATAAAAACATACAAGGAAACTATAATAAACACAAACTCACTGAAGATAGAATTAGAATGATTACACGACGAACAATGAGAAGCTGGATGGATACATAAGATCACAAAATGTGAATGCATCCATTCCATCGATAGCAGTTTTGAGCCATGTAACTGATAGTCACCAGCTATTGGTTCTTAGAGACTTCAGAATCCAATTCAAGGAAGTCGGACTTCTCTACATGACTCATAGTAACACTTAAATCTCCAGGGATTGACGCTACGTTTTGCTGACCACCGTACAACACCTAATGCTATAGAATTGACGCAAAAAACTGTGCTTAAAGACGCCTAGTTTCTTTATATCACCCACTTTCATCTGGCATGTATGAAAGCTGTAAAGGTAGCCATAAGGAACGACTGAGCAGGTTACACGTCCTTTGATCGTCTAATATTATTATTATTCCCTTGGGTTCCGAGTGGAACATAGGGCTTCAACAACACATCTCCACTTTTTCCTATTTTCTGCCGTCCACTTCGGCTGATCCGACTATTGCCCATAGTCCCTCATCTCCTCCTCACACGATCTCCTTCAAGTCACCCTCCGACAGACAGGTCGTTTACTGTTCATCTTCCACTCAAGCAATGACCTGGTGTGTGACATCATCCAACGGTCTTCTCAGCGTGTGCTCAATACATCTCCATTTTTTCCTGCATATTTGTTCAGAAATCGATGCTTGCTTGGGTCATTCGCAGAGTTTCTTGCTGCTAATTCTTTCTAGCCGGCCATCTGATCTTCATTATGTAGCCAGAGAAGGCAGCCGTTAATAAACATTTGCCACAGCCTGTTCGAAATGCCTTTCGTGATGCGCCAAG